TTTGGGAGGCTGAGCAGTAAAAGTCTATCTGCCAGAAATAGGTAGACTATGAATGTGGATGGGATGGATGGGCTACCTTTAGAGAAGCAAACGTACTGAATTGGAGTATTTTATGTCTCTTTGATCTGTAATGTAGGAAAAAGTGTACAAATTATAAGGACCTGAATCTTATCTTCTGTTTATTAATGGTATTATCTTAGTTTTACTAATGAGTTGAATCTTTCTTTATACAATGATAATAATTTCTGGAGTCCTGGTGTGGTGCTGTAGGATAAGCACTCGACCTCAAGCAGTGGAAACCCTATATAGGGTTGCTATGATTTGGAACCGACTCAATGGCACTTAACAACAGCAGCGACAATAATAATTTCTATTGTACATATTTGTAGTGAAGACTGAAGAGGCGTGTGAGCTAACTAACGCTTATAGAGTGTCACTTCTGCCTGTAGTAATACTTTATGAATAACTCTGTCACTTTGTGATTGGTGTGTCACCTGGTCATGTCTTCATTAGACTGACTGGGACAATATCAAGTGTTATTTTTGTATTCTCAGCCCTCAGACCAAGCCTGGAACAGAATTCATTGTTCCAGTTTCTTAAATAACTCTTGTGTGCAAAGAGATTTTCTATTTTAATTTTCACAGCTTTCCTAAGAGGTAAGTTTTTGTCTCCCCCCACAATTCTTTCATTTTACAATGGGGAAAAAGAGGCTCAGAGATTAAATAACTTGTTTAAGGACCAGATACTTTGGAAATTGTGAAATGTTTAAGGGTTAAGATTATTTTTATAATTTTAATATAAATTTGAAGGTTGGCAAGGTGAAACAAGCATTTCTTCTGCCTATCTTCACCATCCCTTTTCAGTTTAACCGTCCTCCTCGCGTGGTGTAATACTGCTAGCTTAGCTATAAGAATAACCACTGCTGTCAAGTTGTTTCCAGCTCACAGTGACCCAATAGGGCTGAGTAGAACTGCTCCCTAGGCTTTCTAAGACTGTAAATCTTTATGGGAGCAGAAAGCCTCATCGTTCTCCCTCAGAGCAGCTGGCTGATTGGAACCACCCATCTTGTGGTGTAGCAGCCCAACCCTTAATCCACTATGCCACCTATATACGAATGTTGTTGAATATAGGTGGTTATTTCCTCCTATGGGTGATTCTCTGCCTTGCCTAAATTTATCCTTGCTTCTCTTCTGATAAACTTTTGGTCTTCATAAATATATGAGTTAGAAGGTGGGTTAGAGTACTTACAGCAGGATTTTTTTGTTAACTGGAGGTTTTAGTAACCAGTAGAAATAATGTCTGTCTTTCTGCATGCTCTCTATCTTCCTGACACCAGAGATGGAGGCAGAGATGGGGACATGCAGAGAGGGATCAGCTGAGGACTCTAGATTCACGGGACAAGAGGGACTAAGAGCTGGCAGCCAGGAGGCAGACTTGCAGACTGTGCCTTTTGGCCGTGTAAATTATTATATATGCCTGAGTGTTAAAAATGTTTTTAAAAAACAGCTAAAGTGAATAGAGAGAAATACTGTTAACTGATGATACATGGAGGGAATTATAACCATTGTAATGAAACAAGGTGTATGATTTCTTGAAAGTAAAACTGATGATCTACCCCGTAAATTTTCACTCAATCCACAATAAAAACCTTAAAAAGAAAAGTCATTTATGGACCTTTGGGTTTAGGTCATGTCAGCCCTGGCTATTGGATACTTATATTTTGTAGAACATGGCCACATTGCTTAATGGTGTGGAACAAAAATACCACCTTATACATTTTATATTTATGTTGCTTTTAATGCAGATTTTTAGTTTGAGAATTAAGTTGTTGTTTTTAACTGTTCAGTCCTAAGTAGAGTTTGGAAGAAACATAAAAATGTCCCCACCCCCATTCCTTATGTCCTCATAAAATTCAGAGTTGCAAAACAGGAACAGCTACACCAGGAAATGTGGCAATAGGAAGAAATACGGGGTTTTTACTTATTATGGTCATATGGCATAAAATTTTCCAGGAATTTAATTATATGCTATAATTTGTTTTCTAGGTCACATAGTTAAATCTGTCCAACATTTATATGAGTTGTTATGTAAATAAGTTTTTTATTGTTTGTACTTTATTTTTGTGTGAATTCTGTCCTTCACTTTGAGTTGGTTCCCTTCCTCACTCATGCCTGGTGAAGTTATAGAGAGGGTGGTGCTCCACTGAATCACGAGGGCAGTTGATAAGCTCAGGGTTAACCCTTGCCCTAGTGAATGTAATGCCCCCGGTGTTCAGCTCTTTAAGTAGCTCTTTAAGTAGTGTGGTATTGTGTTGGAAAGTGCATGTCTGATTTCTGTCATGATCTCAAGCCTGGTTTGAACCCTGGGAACATCGAGCCTTCAATGCCGTTACTAATTTTGGATGGAGGTTTTATTTGCTGGTAGTGGTGTGCCGTGGAGTCGGTTCTGACTCATAGCGACCCTGTACAGGGTTTCCGAGGCTGTAAATCTTAATGGGATCAGAAAGCTTCATCTTTCTCCTGTGGAACAGCTGGTGGTTTCAAACTGCTGACCTTGAGGTTAGCAGCTCAGTTCGTAACCACTATGCTACTAGAGTGAGCTCTGCAGAGAAACTTGGAACAGAATAATTTTTGACCTGTAGGGCCAGAGACTACATTGTTTAGAATCTAGACGAACCCTTTTCTTGTTAGTAGTGGTTATTGACTGATAATTCACAAGGACTGGTGTGGCGCTGTGGTCTAATGCGTCAGACTGCAACGTCGTTTGAACTGCAAGGTCAGTGGTTCAAGCTCACCAGCTGCTCCTTGGAAACCCTGTACAGGGTCACTATGGGTTGGAATTGACTGGATGGCACTTAAAAACAACATTGGTTTATATATATATTTTATGTGACTTTTAACATTCTTATAAGAAGTTGGTATTTTTATATTAACTATTTTTAAAAGTATATAATGAAACAAAGTCTAAGATAATTTATTGTATAATGATAATGCAAAACTTATAAATCTCACATATTGTAAAATTTTTATTTTTAGGCATATGGATCAGGCTGTGATATTGTTATTTTGGCAAGTGACTTTGAATGTGTGCAGATCATTCCTGGTGCTAAGCATGGAAACATCCAAGTCAGCTGTGTGGAGTGCTCTAACCAACACGGAAGAGTAAGGGATTTAATTAAATATTTAAAAATAAATTAATTAAACATTTTAATGCAATCATCTCAGAATATTATCTTTTTCATACAAGGCTTGCTGTAATTTTTTATTAATGCAACTTGCTGATACGATTATTGTTGGGAGCTGTAAATTTATAGGTTGTATACAAATGATAATGTGCCATAAAGCTGATACTGTGGTAATTATTCTAAAATTGTATATACTTTATTGAAAGCTCTGTAGCCCTTGCATTCCTATTGGTGTTGTTAAGTCATTCCAACTCATAGTGACCCTGTATAGAATTTCTCAAGCTTGTCAATCCTTGAGGGAGCAGAAAGTCTTACCTTTCTTATGAGGAGTGGCTGGTAGACTCGAATCACCGAATTAATGGTTCACAGTCCAGTACTTATCCTACAACACTATCCCAATTCCTTTTCCCAATAACAGTGTCATTGTTGTTGTGAAGTGCTGTTGAGTCGGTTCCGACCCAGAGCGACCCTGTATAGGGTTTCTGAGGAGCAGCTGGTGAGCTTGAACTGCCAACCTTGCAGTTCAAATGGCTTTGCAGCCTGGCGCATTAACCCACAGCGCCACACCAGGAGTCCTTCCCTATAACAAAACAAACTGATAATTCTGCCATGGGTAATTCCAGCAGTCATTAAGCAGGGAAGTAAACCTTTATTTTCTCTACCTAGTAAATTATATTAACATTAAACAGTTGTCAAGAAATTAACTAAGTGAATCTAATGTGGTGGTAGTAGTGTGCCCTGCAGTCGGTTCTGACTCATAGCAACCCTGTATAGGGTTTCCAAGGCTGTAAATCTTTACTAGAGCAGAAAGGCTCATCTTTCTCCCGAGGAGCGGCTGGTAGTTTTGAACTGCTGACCTTGAAGTTAACAGCCTGGCTCGTAACCACTACACTACCAGAGCTACTAGTCTTATATATAATTGGTGCTTTGTAGAGTTCTTGTTAATTTCATGAAAGTTTATTTTTTGAATGTAGAAACTTATAGGTCATTCATTCAAGACTTTAAAACAGAAGGTTAGTTTTTAGATTGTTAACACATTTTCATACATAATATGCGTTAAATGTTAGTTACAGGATTTGTAAGTATAGCGTATTTGCTGTGTATTCTGATAATTCAGTAAAGCCAATATTGTACAGTGGAGTTGATGTTCTCTATAGAATACAGAAGTGAGATTTTTACCTATAATCATTTTAATAACTGAAATATTCTTAGTGTACTAGAAATTCTTCTTTACTGAGTAACAAATTTTATCAAGAAAATATTAATTAGAATATTCACGATGATAAGTAGGAATCATGTAGATTTCCAATGAATGATGAATCCTGATTACTTTGCTGTGCCATTTCCACTGCTTGTCTTTGCTGCTTGCACCAAGCCTTACAATTTGTGTCAGTGTTCGCTGTTGACCTAGTATGAAAGCATTGGATTTCTTGTGGCTTTTTTTTTTTTTCCTCAGATACTTGTAACTTACTTTTCTGATTTTTTTTTTCCTCCTCTAAGTATTGATTAAGGTTTTTTTTTGTTGTTGTTGTTGTTTTTTTTACAAAACACTGAGAGTGTCAGATTTTACACATTAAGTTTTCATTGTTCCTCTTCCTAGCTGGCTGTGTGCTTATTATCAGAGATGAAGTGTAATAACTTATTTATGTGCTGGTGGTAATCTCAATGTACAGATTCTCTAGGAGCACAGTTTTTAAAAATGTGACACACTGGTATTCATAACTATGGAGAATAGAGAACTTGTTTCTCGGACCTGGCTGAAGGCAGAAGGCAAAATTGTGAAATATTTGATTTCTTGTCTCTATTATAGTCGTTTTCTTTTAGTCCCTTTATACCTAGTCCTTGTGGTGATAATGTTCACATTTGTGACTTTGTGTTAGTCAGTATAATCATTTATTCACTGATTGGTATATTGAATAGGAAGGTTTTTTGGGGTCTGTTACCCAGGCATTTTAATTCGTTTTGTCTGTCTCATTGTGGATTAAAACCTTTTTTCATGGAAAGGATATTCGGTATTAAGTAGCAGTTAGAAATCAGTCATTGACTGACAGTGCCCTGAGATCACAGTGGACCGTTTTTGTCAGGCCTTAAAGGAACACACACCTTATTTAGTTGTATAGGCTGACCTGAGTACAGAGATGTCAGAAGGGATGGAACAGGACTTTAAGGAATTATTAGAAAACAGCTTCTGGTGTCTCTTAGGAACAGAGGAATTTATGTCTTGCATATCAGATACGTGATATGGAACAAAGTCTTTCAGACCATAAACCCTACACGTAAGTCCTCTGGAGACATCTGTTCAGCTCTTTGACCTCCAGGTGCAATGGGTTTCTCTCTTTTATTTCTCAGTCCATTTTCTCTAGTCCTTTTAAAAGGCTTTCCTAATCGTTATTTTCTGAGTTTTAGTATAACTAATGTCATTTTGCTTGGTATATACTTAAGTCCTGTTACTTTTTGGTGTTTTTCTCTACTTTTTAAATGATTTTTGTATTTTCACTGGATTATAAAGTTTTTAACAAAGAGATGCAGCATATAGATACATCTTTAAAGTTTTCTATATTGAAAAATGAAAAGTAACTATTTCTTATAGAGAAAGATGTTTGATTTGAATAGATCAGTCTTCTATTTGATATATAAAATTAAGCTTACCAACAGGAGAAATTCTTGAGTCTAATACTTTCCCCACAATATATGTATATGAGGGGACATCAACAAGTTGATGGAAAAATTCTGTTATCTTTTAATTCCATTTATCCATGCACACACATACACAATGACATGAGGATAAGTCAAAAAGTATTGCTACTAGGGTTCCAGTTCTTAACATGCTTGGATTTATTCCAAACAAAACGTGAAACATGTCTCTGCAATCAGCAGATGGTTGCAGACATGTTCTCTCAGTGATCTACAGGTGCCATCCAGTCAGTTCCAACTCATAGCCATGTTATGCACAACAGAATGAAACACTGTTCAGTCCTGTGTCAACCTCACAAGTATTGGTACTTGAGTCCATTTCTTCTGTCACTGTGCAAGTCCATCTCATTGGGGGTCTTCCTCTTTTTTGCTGATGCTGTACTTTACCATGTATGATGCCCTTCTTTAGGGACTGGTCCCTTCCTGATGCTTCTAAGGAGCATTCGGGCAGTAGTTCTCCCAACACAGATAGATCTCTTTGTTCATCTGGCAGGCCATAGTATTTTTAATATAATTCTCTAACACTATAATTCAAATGCATCATACTTCTATGATCTTTCTTATTCATTGTCCAACTTTTTCACATGCATATGAGGCTATAGAAAATATCATAGCTTGGGTCAGGTATTCCTTAATCCTCAAACTGACATCTTTGCTCTTCAAAGACTTTAAAGAGGTCTTGTGCAGCAGATTTGCCTAATGCAAATCTTGGTTTGTTTTATTTTTTGACTGTTGCTTCCATCCATGTTGATGAGAGATCCAAGCAAGATGGCTTAGACAATTTCAATCTTTTCTCCATTTGTTGTTGTTGTTAAGGGCCGTTGAGTAAGTTCTAACCCATAGCAATACTGTGTAGGGTTTATTGGTGCAGTGGTGAGGGTTTTTGTTTTCTTTATATTGAGGTGCAACCCATATGGAAGACTGTGGTCTTTGATCTTTATCAGTAAGTATTTTAAGTCCACGTCGCTTTCAGCAAGCAAGATTGTATCATCTGCGTATCACAGGCTGTTAATGAGTCTTCGTCTAGTCCTGATGCCACTTTCTTCTTCATATAATCCAGCTTCTTGGATTAATTGAATAAATATGGTGAAAGAAGACAACCCTGGTGCACATCTTTCCTCATTTTAAACCATTCAGAGTTCCCTGGTTCTGTTCAAATGACTGCCACTTGTTCTATGTACAGGTTCTTAAGGGTTCTGGCATACCCATTCTCTCCAGTGTTCCCCATAGCTTGTCATGATCCATGCAGTCGAAAGCCTTGTGTAGTCACTAAAGCACAGGTAAACTTATTTCTGGTATTCTCTGCTTTCAGCCAGTTTAGTCCTGTTGTTGTGGTTAAGTGCCTTTGATTCAGTTACGACCCATACTGACCCTTTATGGGGTTTCCGAGGAGCAGCTGGTGAGCTTGAACTGCCAACTTGTGGTTCAAAGTGACTTTGCAGCCCAGTGCCACACCAGGACTCCAAAATAGGTTGTAGGTCTTTTTAAAAGTACTGCCTCGTAGTCCTGTTGTTGTTTTTAAGTGCCGCTGAGTGGGTTCCAACTCATAGAGACCCCTATATAGGGTTTCCGATGAGCAGCTGGTGGGTCTGTTGTTGTTGTTGAGTGCCACCGAGTTGATTCCTACCCATAATGACCCTGTGTAGGGTTTCCAAGGAGCAGGTGGTGAGTTTGAACTGCCGACCTTGCGGTTCAAACGGCTTTGCAGTCTGGTGCATTAACCCACAGCGCTACACCAGGACTGTAGGGCGCTTTAAAAAAAAGGAATACGAAGAAAAAATATTGCCTGAAGATCAGTTAGCTCAAAGAGCTGATGTTTCTATTAGTCTTTTAAATAGCGTAAAACTTAATGAAGATGATTCTCTGGAACAAATCATACATTGGAGATGAGTCTTGGATTTACTAATAAGTTCACAAAGTAAGGTCTAATCAAAACCATGGCTTCTGAAGGCATCTGTTTGTTGTTAAATGCTGCTGAGTTGGTTCAGGTTGGGCCAGTTAAATTCAAGGCAGAGAGGTTAGCCCAGAAGGCTATGGTGAAGAATTGTGGGGACTTCCAAGGGACAATCTTGATAGATTTTCTCAAAGGACACAGGACGATCATGGGTTTATTGTGAAGAAGGTTTGAGAAAATTGAAAACTGCCTTGGTGAGCAAAAGGCCAACAAAGTTGTACCAAGGAATTGTTTTCCACCATGACAATGCACCTGCTCATTCTTTGAGGCTAGCAAGGGTCATCCTATGAGCTTTTTGTTGGGAAATCTTTCTGTATTCACTCTATTGCTCTGATCTTACCTCTTCAGACATCTTTTTGTTTCCAAAACTTAAAGAACATTTAAAATAAACACAATTTGAGGCCCTCATGGATGACAAAACTGTCCTTTGGATGTGGTGTAAATTGAGAAGTGCCAAATTCTTTGGGGGAAAGGTTAGAGAGAGGAAACTCCACCGTGAGAAGTATATAAACCTAGATGGAGGATGTATCAAGAAAAAATAACTTCACATTTCGATATTTTTATTTAAAAAAGCTTTCTATGATTTTGTAGCAGTTGACTTACTCTCTGGATTGTATACATACATAAGGGGGCTTCAAAAAGTTCATGGAAAACAGAATGGAAAGATAATGGAATTTTTCATAAACCTTTTGAAGCTCCTTTGTGTGTATGTATACGAGGGACTTCAAAAAGTGTGGAAAAACGGAGCAAAAAGAAAGATGAATAGAATTGTTCCATGAACCTTTTGAAACTCTGTCATACACTCACACACACAGAGAAAAGTAAATTTATCTACAACTTCATTGAAAGTTAGCATGGTGCTGTAATTATATATAATTAGTTTATATATATATTATGCAAAGAAGGTTACCTTTATTGTACCTTTTCCTAAATATTAATGTTTTGTTCATTCTTTTGTAGATTGCTGCTTCATATGGTAATGCTGTTTGTATTTTTGAGCCGTTGGGCATAAATTCTCATAAGAGAAATTGTGTAAGTATTAAGTCACAGTAGAAAACTTAGAATCTAGTTGATGGTATTAATCCTGCTCCTTATGAGTTGTATGGTAAATATTTGACATTCCCCAGGGATATATTCTTAGGCCTTTTAGAATTCCAAGTTTTTAGAATGTTGTTAATTGAGATGTAAAAAAAACAGACAAAAAACTGTGTTTTAGGGGAAAGTTTACATAGCAAATTCAGTTCTGACTTACCAATTTTTATACAAAATTATCCATGACATTGGTTGCATTTTCACAGCATGTCAGCATTTTCTTTATTTCCATTCCATTTGTTCTGTTTCTGTTAATCTAGCTTCCCTGCCCCTCCGTCCCTTTTCATCTTTGCTTTACAGTGAATATTGACTATTGGTTTCATAGAGTGTGTTATTGAAGGGAGCACATTATTCATAGGTAATACTAATTCTTTCCTAAGAATCTTTTATTTGGCTCAAAGGTGATTTGTTTGAATGGCTTTAGTTCCAAGATCATCGATTCTTAGGGTGATAGTCTCGGGAGTTTTCTCTAGTCTCTATCAGTCCAGTAAGTCTGGCCTATTTTAAGAATTTGAGTTTTGCTCTGTAATTTTCTCCCGTTCTATTTGGGACTTTCTATTGTATCCCTGAAGTCCTGGTGTGGCACTGTGAGGTAAGCACTAAATCTCAAGATTGGTTTGAACCACAAGGTCAGCAGTTTAAACTCACCAGGTGCTCCTTGGAAATCCTATTCAGGGTTGCTATGACTCTGAGCGGACTCACCAGCACTTAATAACAACAACCTTGTGTCTTGGTCACAATGGTCAGTTAGTGGTAGCTGGGCCCTTTCAGTTCTTCTGGTTCAGGAGAGATGAAGGCTGTGTTTTTGCTCACTGGATTTATTCTGCTAATTGAGATCCATCCTAGTCTGAGATATTTGTTGCCTCAGAACCAATCAGATTCATACTAGATGCTTTATTATATGTTGTATTATTTAGTATCCAGAAAATCCTACCTTGTGCTATTAATGCCATTAAAAATTACTACATGCATTAGAACTCCATCATCACTTAGAAATAATTCAAAACTGTAAATGTATATATTTACTAAATAATTTTAAAAAAACGTATTCTTAAAAGTTATTGTCAAGTGCCGTTGAGTTGATTCCAACTCATAGTGACCCTTGTAAGGGTTTCTTCCAACTGTGTGGTTCACAGTCCAGTGCTTATTTTTCAGTACCGAGAATATTCTTAAATGGATGCATTAAAATAACTAATTTTGATTTTTTTTTGTTATATGTATGTATATGAATATTTCTTTTTACATTTCCAAGAAACTAGTATAAGTCAAAATATTAGTTTTTTTCCCTGTAGTTCACCCCAATGCCATTGAGTCTGTTCTGACTCACAGCATCCCTGTTGAGGGTTTCAGAAGCTATCAATCTTTATGGGAGCAGAAAGCCTCCTACTTCTCCTGCAGAGCAGATAGTGGATTTGAACTGCTGACTTTGTGTTTAGCAGCCCAGTCCTTATCCTACAGCACCACCTGGGCCCCTTTTCCCTAGGATAGTATTATGAAATGGATCTCAAATTTTAGAATGCTAAAGAATCACCTGGAACACATATTTAAAATGAAGATTCCCAGGTCTCACTCTCCAAATGTATGCTATGTCCACAGACTACACTGAGAAACTCTAATGAAAAAAATTTTAGAGATGTGTTAAGAAGCTCTGGTAGTGTAGTTGTTACGAATCAGGATGCGAACTGCAAGGTCAGCAGTTCGAAACTACCTGCTGCTTCGCTGGAGAAAGATAAGGCTTTCTGCTCCCATATTTACAGCCTCAGAAACCCTATACAGGGTCGCTATGGGTCGGAACCGACTCAACGGCTCTTAACAACAACAATACTTTCAGTACTGATTAGGTAGACAGTTTAAACCTTGCCAGCCACTGCTCAGAAACCCTATAGAGGGTCACTGTGAGTCAGAGCTGACTCAATGGCACTTAACAACAACAACAATTATTACTATAGAATAAATTCATTGAGCAGTATTTGATTTAAAAATAACATTCTTCCCCCTTGATCATGAAATATAAGATTAGTTTTAAATGATAAAATGCAAGTTTTACAGTTATGTTTTTAAATTCTGCCGTTAAGTAGGCATGAAGCCTTGAATAAAGAATTGTTAAATATTTGTAAACTACCCTGAAGAACAGAGACTTGCCACTTATTATCATTGTATGCCAAGAGATAAGTGTACAACTAGCTGAAGGGGTTACCCCACTTTATATTGGTCTATACTGTCATGAAAGGGCGTTAACAAAGAAATAACTAAACTTTGTTTACTTTGGTACTGTTTTTAATGTAAAAGGTCTTTGAACTTTTAAATCTTCTTTGTAATATTTAGAATGAAAATGTTTGAAAAAAAAGGATAGAAATGAATTCAAATAGATATAATATAGTTCAGATTTGTAGATTATTATTTATTGGCCCTTTGGGAGATGATTCTGGTTTTCTTTTAGACATTGAGTCTATGTAGGATTATGCTAATTTTTTTTCCTGATGTGTATTTATTTAGTTTCAGTAAACATTTATTGAGCATTTGTGTACCAGCCATTACAAGTGCTAAAGATACAAATATTGTTATGACATAGAACCTTGATGAGTTGCAACTTACTAGGAGAGGCAGACAACATAAGGTAATATTTCAGAATGATCAGGGTTGTGGTGGTGGCAGTGGCGGTGGTGTGCTATGAAGTTGGTTCTGACTCATAGTGACCTTGTATAGGGTTTCTGAGGAGTGGCTGGTGACTTCGAACCACTGACCCTGTGGTTCAAACCGACCTTGCTGTCTAATGCATTATCCCACAGCACCACACTAGGACTCTCCAGTATATGTAGGGAGGGAGTTCCTAGAGAGCGCAAAATGGTTAATGCTTGGTACCTATCAAAAAAGTTGGTACTTAAACTCCACCCAGAAGTACCTCAGAAGAAAGGTCTGGAGATCTTCAGAAAAATCAACCACAGAAAACCCTAGAAAGCACAGTACTACTCTGATGCACATAGGGTCGCCATGATTGAAGTTGACTTGATGGCAACTGTAGAGACTTGGAAGCCCCCCTAAGAGGACATGTTTTGTCTGGGCATGACAGGCAGTTCAGTATGATAGAGAAAATAGTAAGTTATTTTTTAAAACATTTTCTTTTTGAAAATAATAGTATAATATTTGCGTCTTTGTTTCAGATAATAAGATCTTTAGTTGAAGAAAATGATAAAATGATAGTATTCATGGATGTTATTTTAAAAGTATATCTTTTTCCTTCATGTTTCAGCAACTCAAATGTCAGTGGCTTAAAACTGGGCAGTTTTTTTTGAGTTCTGTGACGTACAACTTAGCATGGGACCCTCAAGGTATTTAGCGACTAGTTTCAGAAGCTATGAAAATCAAATATTTGTTCTAAATGTATGATTACCATGTGATATATAGTCTTTCTTAATAAGAAAATGATCATAGTATGTTTTCTGAATGCTAGTGAATGAGTGTACTTTTTTCCTTCTTGGTATATACACTTTTGTCTATAACAGTACGTTACTATTCCATGCATTTTCCTCTCTCTAGAATGCTTTATTCCAAGGAACTGTGCTAATTTGTTCCTTAGTTAGCATGTGCTGCCCTTTACTCTAATTTTACTTGTTACTAAGACATCAAATCAGAAATAAAGCAGGGCCAAAAAACCTATCTTGTTTAGCTGCCATTTATATTTCAGGAAAATATTTAATTTTGAAAGATAAGGAAAAACCCCTAACAATAATGGCTATTGTCCCTTTTTCATTCGCAATGAATGAAAGCAGTTTTTACAGTTCATGTAGAAAACCAGACTTCACTAATTTGCAGTTATGCCTATCATCCAAGAACATATTTGTAGATTGTATACATCAGTTTTGAGGGGTTTGTTTTGTTATTCGATTTTTATGTTGATTTTTAGAGACTTATGTGATATACAACAGTTCTTTGTAAGTAAGCTTTTCTCTTTTGCTCTCAAGTCTTCTCCAGGAGCTACTCGCTTGTCTAGCAGATTCTTAGATGTACTCCAAGTGTTTTTCATAGATATTTTTCATAGACATTGTTGCTTATTTGTTACAGTTTATATATTTAATTAGAAGCTAACATAAGCATTTCTTTCCCTAGACAAACCTTGCTAGTTCATCAAAACATTCTTTAATTTTCAGATAACAGACTCTTGACAACAACGGAGTCTATTCAGTTGTGGGCTCCTCCAGGAGGTGACATTCTAGAAGAGGAAGAAGAAATTGATCATAAAATTCCTCCTGCCTTAAATGATTGGAAATGCATCTGGCAGTGCAAGTTAGTGTCTATCTCACTTGTTATATTCACCAGTTAAAAAAACGTCTCCTAAAATATGTCCCTTTTCATTTGATCTTCATTTTGTAATGGTACCATCGCATTTAAAAGTCTAATAAAGTACTTTTCTTAACTGAGACCAATTAGCATATTGTCCTTCAACCTGGGCTAAAGTTGATTTAAAAAAAAAGTAAAAAATATTTTCATCGTAGTAATCCTGGGTCTAGGAACATATTTCGGGTTACAGGATAAGCATAAGACTGCTAATGCAAGGTCGGCAGTTCAAACCCACCAGTTGTTCCTTGGGAGAAAGATGAAGTTTTCTGATCCCATAAAGATTTACAACTTATACAGGGAGGGTATGAGTCAGAATTGACTTCATGGCATTGAGCTGTGAGTTGAAAGTTGAATCCCAGGTCTTAGATGGGCAGGGTTGACACACATGGGAATTATTCATTAATGGATAAGATATGATGAGGGCCAGGAGCAGGAAGATGTGGAAGTTGCCGGCCACTTTTTCATTTGGAAGGATAACCATTGACATGAACGTGGACTGTATGAAAGGGACCAGTTGGTTAGAGAAGATAAGGAGTTCAGTGTTTAACACGTCATATTTAGGATGATAGTGGGACATGGCACAATGATATCCTCTGCATATTACTTCCATTGTTCTTTGGTTCCCAAAGTGAACTGTTATCACAAATTAATGAATTTTTAGGAATAAGAAATCTTTTACTTATATTTTTAGGGAGTCAAAAACAGTTGACACTCTTGTTCTATGATTATATGTTGTTAGGAAAATCTCATTTTGATCATTGATATTATAACTGTATAGTAGATTTTTAAAATGGTAGCTGTTTAACTGTCTTTATTTATTTTTTTAAGAACCTCAGTGTCTGTACATTTGATGGAGTGGTCCCCTGATGGTGAATATTTTGCTACTGCTGGAAAGGTAAAGGACCAAACAACAACAACAACGACCCCCCAATAAATAAAATAATTAGAAATGCCTGCTATTCATTCTTACTTTGTTTTCTTAAGTGTATAATTGGGATAGTTTTACTCTGAAAAACTGGTCCAAGGAATAATGATAGTGTAGTGTCTGTGAAAACCAGGTACATCCCCCACATGTATTAAGCACTTGAGAAATAATGACTGTTATTATTATCCTTATTTGACCGTAGCTCATTTGGGTTTAAACTTTTTTTTTAAGTTTAAAAATAGCATATTAACCTGATTTAAAAAGTAAAATGGGTATATTGGATTCAAAATGAAAAGAAACTTTCCCCTGCCTCATCCTTACCCACTTTTAATTCCTGTGTCATAAGTTGTATATTTTAGTATTTCTTTTCATATTTCTAAATAACTTGCTTATGCACCTATTCTTGATTTTTTTTGTTGTTCAGTGTTTTGAATCATTTATTGTCTTCTCATTATATAAGCTGAGGTTTGAGATCTCTAATTGATATTCCCATCTTCACTGTTTTTAAAACACAAAAATCTATTCACTACCCTTCTTTCTGTCTTCATGATATAAATAATATAATGTTTGGTTAAATCAGTATTCATTGTTCACATTATTTGATTACTTAAATATTCTTTGCAGTTAATGTTACATTTTGATATTCCTAAATTAAATTTCAGTATTACTTTTACTGTTTGCTTACGTTTCTCTATGTTGCTGTTGTTGTTAAGTGCCATTGAGTAGGTTCCTGTATAGAGTTTCCTAGGAGTGGTTACTGCGTTTGAAACGCCGAGCTTGAGGTTAGAAGTCCAGTGCTTCCTACAGTGTCACACCAGGTTTCTATATGTCTAACTGATAATCTTCCAAGACAGATTTGTTCCTTTTGGTTGTTGTTGTTGTTAGGTGCCATCGAGTTGGTACTGACCCATAGCGACCTTATGCACAGCAGAACAACACACTGCCCGATCCTGGGCCAACCTCACTACTGTTGCCACGCATGAGTCCATCGCTGTTGCCACTTGGCCAGTCCATCTAGTTGGGGGTCTTCCTTTTTTTCTCTGAACCTCCACCTTACCAAACATGATATCCTTCTCCAGTGACTGGTCCCTCCTGAAAATATGTCTGAAGTATGAGAGACAAAGCTTGGCCATCTTGGCCTCCAAGGAGCACTCTGGCTGTACTTCTTCCAGAATAGATCTGTTGATTCTTTTGGCAGCCCATGGCACTTTCAATATTCTCCTCCAACACCATAATCAAAAGCATCAATTCTTCTACAGTCTTCCTTCACTGTCCAGCTTT